CAGCTGGATCAAGCTTCAATAATGATATATTGATAAAGAAAGCCACGTTATACAGTTATATATAATAACTTTCAATAATCAACGTCGTCATCAATCTCTTCTAAACTTTTGTGAGGTTAATGCATGCGATGGTATTGATGTATACATGTCTGTATATAATTTCCATTACGTGTATATATATTTTACGTATATGTTTATTTTTTTGAGTTCTGTTTGACTCCAAGAAAAGAGTGTTGCTATTCTCACCGTTTATCAAAATTTAAAACCTAATTATCATTTCTTTCCACCCCGTTATGTCTAAAAGACCCTTAATATACCAAGTCAAACAGTTCACTCATAATTATCATCTTTCCCTTATTTTTTGCTTCGCTATTTCCCATAAACTCTATCACGTCTCTCTCACCAAAATCGAAACCCATGATTATTTTGTGCAACAATGTTATTTCTTCAGATTTGATCAAAAGTTTCATTCTTATTGGCTTATGTCTGCTGCTGTCGTAGGCTTAAAGCAACTTTGATTCTCTATCAAAACAAAGCCGTGATCTGCAGTTTCAATTTCAATTTTTATATGAACATAGCTTAGGACAAAGAGCATATATATATGATGTGATTTCAGTTTGCAAAGGAGAAATCAAATATTTTATTATGAAAAACTTGGGTGAAATAAACATATTAAAGTATGGGATAAAAAGATAAATTATAGGGCTTAAATAATGTGGGTAGGGTTAGGTAAGGACGTGAGTGGGTAGAGTAGGATTATTATGAATGTCTTTAGACTTTTTTTTTTTTTTTTTTAAATGCGGAACCTTGTTCCTTGCACGTATGCCACATAATTGTACATGAATACGATTATATGCATAGTTAGTAAATTCACATATAATATTCTTATTATTCACGTAGGTATGCATTTTTTTAAAAATATTTTAGTTTATGTACACGTCTCAAAGACACGGTAATTATAACTACCTCCTTGTTTCATCAATAAAAGGAATTTTCCTTGTAGTGTACGTTTCATAAAATCAAATGTACAATATACATACTATGCACGTATGTATTTATTTTTCACATATTATTAAATTTTAATTTTAATTTTAAAATTTTAAGTAAAACCAATATTTTTTAATATATTTAGAGTAAGTAATATTTATTATTGATGGGAAAAAGTACAAAGCTCAAGCAATTAAGGTTCTAAATGTGGATAAATCTTCTCCAAACATATTGGCATAAGACATAGATCCATACCAAAAACTTAAAGCTAAAAAGAAATAAAAACCTGACAAAGAGATACAAAACACAACAAACTATTAAAGAGTTTTTGACAATTATTAGATAAAAACAAACTAAGAAGCAGTGCCACATCTCCACGTACTCTCGGCATCCCGAAGAGATCCATAGGGCCATATTGGCTAAACCCAAATCTGACACAACACAGCAACGTCCACACCTTCCACCAAACCCATATCGAAGGCTAACAACTTAAGCCAAATGCTTGTGGTGGTTGTGTGCGTGGGCCAAAAGATAGCGATCGACTATCATAAGGACAACGTTTCACGAAGACTGTTTGCACACCACAAAACAAAACAAAAAAAAGACCGGAAAGCAGAGGGGAAGGACTAGGAAGGGGAAGGGGTAAGGTTTTTTCAAGAGATAGTAAGTAAAATTAATATTTAAATATTATATAATAGCTGAAATTTTCACTGTATTTTAAAAAGTTTTCAAATACTATATCTATATATTTCCCCCCCATATTTCACTAACTATAATTATATGCGAGCAACATGTGTCTTTGCAATTAAAAATTAAAAAATGAAGGAAATCATAATTTGATCATCAACCATTCTTAATTGTTGCAATGACTTTATTGTTGAAAAAAAACATTTAAAATTATAGGACCTAAAGTGAAAACTGCTCAAACTATGGGGCGAAAAATTTAGTTTACACAACTACTACATTTGAGGTGGATTATCTAATTGACCAACTATTTAGGTCAAAGCCACATTTGACAGTTGTCAAGTGGTAATGATTAAATTCATAAGAATCTTTAATAATCTTAGTATAGCATGATTAGGTCAGTTTGTTAGAATAGTAAGTCCGTCCCCTTTACACCTAAGTTCGAATTTCTTTATGAAAAATTGATTTAGAATAATTTAGACTATAACTTGTATTTTAAAAATAAAAAAATCTTAGTATAAGAAGCCTCATCATAGCAACAATTCATGAAGCCTTTATCTATTCTTTACAAAGCATAGAAAATTTCTCTGAATGAAGCTAAACGCCTACAATTCTTTTGTTTCCATTACCCAAAAAAATAAACCCTACAATATCATGGGGGTAGGTCAATTGCTATAGGAGGGTAATTTCGGTGACGTCTCACTCCAAGTAGGTAAGAAAGCAGGTCCACCCGTTTGATCATGGTTTGACTGTTGGTGAATTTTTGACATCAAGATTTTAGGTCCATGCCAATCGAATTCTTTTACCTTCATCTAAATTCCATCACTGAATATAATTATTAAAAAAATTGAAATTTATAGCTCAAGTAATTAAGAGCATTTAACTATAAACTTGAGGAACCGACTTCGATCAGCCTCGAAGGAACACCACTTCCATCAGCCTTCAAGGGATGTTTTATAAGTCAATTCCTGGTCATCATCTTGGTTCACTGAATGAAAGAACAAATGCCGAACACCGACAACTTTGGCTTTACAAAAAACATGATAAATAACTTTACATTAAAAAACTTGAAAATTAATTAAAGATTAGGGTTCATAGATTTGGATTCATAAGCTGCATCCACGTCCCGTTTCATTGGAAGGGGAGAAGGTACCAAATTGAATGACAATGTTTTGGTCATTATTATGTTAAGGACTCCTAGGATTAGATTAAAATAATTTTAATTAACGAGTTTATAATTGGGTAATGAGGAAAACAGCTGCAACGCATATATCCAATAAGTTAGACTTAATTAAATACTTACAAATGACATTATTTTACTTTTGACTCAAATGAATTAAATAGCAAAAGATCGATTGGCAAGTGTTTGCATTGCAATCTTTTGGATTTGTGGGACAAAAAATTGTCAAGTGCCGGTGGCTAAAGTCAAATTGCACTCTTTGACTGCAGTCAGACAAAAATTGATGGAGACATAATCTTTGGAGTGGAAAAGAACTATGGAAGGATCTTGCAAGCTGGCCAGTCTGACAAGCATTATACTTCAAATTAGTCACAACTCAACTCAGGAAACAATTGAAACTTTAATTCATATTGCTTCAGATTTAAGAATGAGACCTAATAGAGTTCAAGGTAATATGTGTAAGCAAGTTTATAGAATGGGAGGAGAAGGCCAAAAAAAAAAAAAAAGCAGGTTAAGGCCGGCATGTTTTTTTTTAAATTATAATGATTAATTTTTGAAGGAAGTTGAGGTTCCACTCCAAAACTAATTGACAATGGGGGAGTAACAAAACTCCTTATAAACCCAGGTTAGGTCCCTTAACTACAAACACTCTCAACGCGCCCCCGCACGTGTAGCGAACTTTCAAGCCTAACACATAGATAACATATATTGGGTGACGTGGGGACACGTGTGACCGTTGGGCCTAACACGTGAAACCTTGCTATGATACCATGAAAGAAGTTGAGATTCCACTCGAAACCAATTGGCAATGGGAGAGTAGCCCAACTCCTTATAAACCCAGGTTAGATTCCTTAACTACAAACACTCTCAACAACTCTTCTTAATGCTATAACACATCGGTATGTTTCGACGTTGAATGAAAACTTGGATTTTTTCTTAACTGGATAACATTATGACTATTAAAAGCACAAACTCATTATGAAAGTACGACTTAGATATCTAAGAATCTACTTCACATCCTTACAATGTTTGCATGAATTACCCCCCAAAAAAATAATTTAAAAATGAAAAGAAAACGCCATTTACGTGTGTTATGTACTATGATCTTGAGCATACCATAGTATACATTAGACTACCTATGGTTGAGGGCTATAGCATCATAGTCATTTTTCCCCTCTTTTTTCCTTTTTTATTTTTTTTATTTTTTATAATCATTGTAGGACTTTGATTTGAACGAAACAAGAAATGACTAGTAAATGAAGTAGCGAATGGCTTTGTTCCATGTTGAACCGCTTTAGTATCTTCTTGATATACCTTTTTTGTGATAACCACAACTTTCTATTATTCTCTCTTCAAACCCTAACCCTAACCTCCCTAATCCCCACCTGCTACAGTGCCACTGCCGTCGGAGTTATGCCGCTGTCCACCACCTATTATTGCACGACTATTATTGTATTTTGGTTAATCTAGGTTTGCTTTGAAATTTTACGAATTAAAATCACTAAAAAACATAAATCGAAAAAATGACATATTGAAATCATTCAAGTATATTTGTTCAAGAAGGGAATAACATTTGGAAGATAAAAAATAGATAATAAAAAAAATCCTCTATTAAATTTTCTTTGGAACATTTACATCATGAACACATGAAGTTCGGATCCTGGATCCATTACTGCACACTATATCAGTACACCTTCGAACCTGAGACCAATGATATATAAGTCAAAATCCTTTTCCACAAAGCCAGGCCTTATAGACTATAACATGCCCTTAATAGATTCAAACAAAACTAGAGCTAAAATGAAAATAAACAAATAAAAACTTATTTGGAGTAAGGACGTGGTCCATCCATATCAATAACGCCAACCAAATTTTTTTCCATTGCCTCCATGCAGGTAAAAACAGATTACAAAATTCTAGTGTAATAAGGTTTTTTTTTTTTTTTTTTTCCATTCATTTTAGAACGATATTCTAAAGTCTAAACTATTAGCCGGTGCAATATTCGAGTACTGACTAAATAAGACCCTCTATTCCAGTCCAGTCCAAGGTACTACCAAAACATGGGCCTAATCTTTGACCCAAAGAAAACGTGGGCCTAATAATTCTTAATAAGATATTAGCACAATATTTGTGAAGCTGCGGTCATCAGCAAAGTACCAGCCATGCTGCTGACGATAAACTCTTCAGTCTCCACCTCCCTCCTCACCAAATCTCCTTCCATTCCAATCACCACTTCCAGCTTCCCCAATTCCAACCCAGCAACTGCCGTCAGAACCCCAAGATGGAACCCGCAGGCCCTTCAATTTCGGGTCTCCTCGTCCGCCAATCGGACGGTCGAGGTCGCATCACCGCCGGAAAATGTCGGTGGAGCTGATTGCGCTGCGGAATCTGGAGCGGACATCGTGAGGAAATTCTATGGAGGAATCAACGTCCAGGATTTGGCTTCTGTGGAGGAGCTCATCGCAGAGAAATGTGTGTACGAGGACCTGGTTTTTCCTCGTCCTTTCGTTGGCCGCAAGGTACTCTTCTGTATCTGTCATCTGCTTCTCTCTTTTGGTATGCCCTCGCTTTCATGGTTGATATTAGATTGTAGTTTAAATTTTAAAATAAATAAAATAAAATAATGTAAATTGGCAAAATTCTAGCACTGAGTTGGAATCTGCATGTATGTATGTATCTACCACATGCCGGCTTGTGGATTATTATAACAACAAACAACTCTATTTGTACTATTTTATTAGATTTTATTTTTAATTTCTTATTAAAAAAATTTATGTGTAGGTTGGGTATGAAATTATGCTCTAATATTTGTAGTAAATGGATACTCTGTAAGGATATTATTAACAGTTTTAGCTAGTGCTAATTGAATCTGAAGGGTTGTGCTTGCAAAACTTAAATTGATATTTGCAATTTTAAACATTATTGGTAATAATAATTCAATCAATGTGCAGGATATACTTCAGTTCTTTAAAAAGTTTAACGATTCTGTTGGCAAAGACCTTCAATTTGTTATTGATGATATATCCACCGAGGATTCCGCAGCAGTTGGGGTGACATGGCATTTAGGTATGTTGATGAAAATTACAGTATGTTTTTCATCTCTGCCATAGGATTTTTTTTTTTTTTTTTGGTCGAACTCTGCAATAGGATTATCCGTACTGAGAATAGGACATATTTTCAGAATGGAATGGGAAGCCTTTTCCGTTTAGCAAAGGATGTAGCTTTTATCGGTTGGAAGTCGTCAATGGCAAGAGACAAATAATGTAAGGATACCTGATTATATTATTGCATGAACATTCAATTTCGTTCCTGAAGATGAGAAAAGATCTTGTCCATTATGCTTCTGATTGTGTGTGTTTTTGAAATTTTAGGTTATATCAATATTTTGGGTTGAAAACCAAAATATTTTGATTTGTGAGAGTCCGATATTTCAGAATTTTTTTCCTGTTACTTCGGTATTTTTTGTTCAGAAATTGGTTGTTATTGCTCTGTTCTTGTACTTTGAGATGATATTCCTAGTCTAACTTTTGAGATTGCATTTAATAAAAGTTTCATTCTTCTCAATTTTTAAGCAGTTTCTTTCCATGAAGAAAAGAATCCGTCAATATCAAATTCATGCAGTTATGATTAGGAGTTTCAGCATGTTAACTATTTTCTCAGTATAGGAAGAAGATATCTAAGAGGGATTGAATAGAAATGTACACATTTTTCTCTGAATATACTTAAGTTTCTTCCTTTCATATATGTCCCCTTAAACAATCCTGTGAAACACGAAGCGCAAACAATTTTAGATTGCACGGAGTATCTGATACGGATATGATCCTGATATGCCTCAACATGTATCTTTGCATACTTTCTAAATACGTATCCAATTGACTTTTTGAAAACTCCGGCTTTTGGATATGGAGTGGTGGTTTTTAGTTTCCTTTGAAAGGAGTTTTGAGGGTAAATTAAAAGGTTTATATCAGTATGTGCACCTCACATTCAAGGTCCATAGAATTTTACACCAGCCCAACAACTATTTTTTCTGTTATCTTCTTGGTTCGTGTGAACTATGCTCAACATATTCAATTGGGTTTATCATAAGTATTTCATTTATTAATATAGTCTTTACGAATTTCAGCAATTTAGATATATAAAAAAAACTTACATACTATTTGAGTATAATTTCCACTAAATTTGGTTCTTTCTATTTCTAATTCCAATACATCCATATAAGCAATTTAAATCAATAATCACAAACACATGAGCACCAATATTTTACATGGTTTGTCTACCTGTATGCATGCATTCAATCCTGCATTCCTTGGTTGAACCTAAACACTTCGTTATATGAAAATATTACAGGTTAACCCAAAAAATTTACAATCCTAAATGTGAAAATCAATTTTGTTCACATTTGGTCTGAAACCTTTGCTCAATCCTCCTCATAAAACTGAAATCTCAGAAGATGTATAGGTTCTCTAGACTACACTCCTCTAGACTCTAGAGTTATGTAGGAGGAGCCTCTGTGCATGTCCAAGTGTGTTTAACTACATATGTGATGACCAATTGAAAAACAACAATAGAATCACGACAAAGAGGAGAGAAAACCTAACTGTGTTATCTTTTATGTAAGACTCCATTGTCACCAAGTGGGAAGGTGCGTAAAACCCATTAAATCTTGCACACCACCTCACATGGAAGCACTAGGCACTCCATGGCCATAAGGGGAAAGAAGATCACCCCCTTTTCTGCTAAAGCCTTTGTGCCTACCAAAAACAAAGGCTCTGAGACTTACTCTCACAGGAACTCTCTTTAAAAGCTACAGGGGTTTCTATAAGCATGAGAATTACCATCAACTCAGAAAATGTGTTGAACATTTGATTTCCTACCGTCTCGGTTGATTGGGGTAAGTTCTAAATCGACGCTAAACCCGTAATGGGTGGAATAAGGTATTTTGGGGTTTTGGGAGGTTTCAGTCTACTGGCAGGAATTCTCAATCTACTCTGTCATCTTGATGTGCTAGGCTAGTCTCACCCAATTGGGTCTTCATATCATGTTTAGCTAGTCTATTGAACTCGAGCCAAGCTTATATCTACTAGGTTTTCCTGTTTTGACTCTACTCTTCTTTATTCATAAAAGTTCTCGGTATGATATAACATTTCAAATTATGTTTGGACTATTGCAGACCTAGGCAAGCTTATACCTACCCCTCAATCTTAGCAGTACTTCACTAGTAGCAAGCTCATTTACTTTATCAATACTATTTCTAAATTTTGTTAGCACATGCCTGCACAATGTTACATTTATAAAGATGTTGAGATGCAAAGAATTTTGTTGGTAGACTAACTTTGCCCTTGTAAAACAGCTATGGGCGAGATAGTGTCGAGCCTGCTATCAAGCCTGGGGATACTGTGTTGGTAAGTATATTATAAATGCTTTAGATGCTAGGTGCTACCATTTATTGGCTCAGGTGACTCGAATGAAAAAAGGATAAAAATAAAAATAAAACAAGAAGGATAAACATAATTCTCTCTCTCTCTCTCTCTCTCTCTCTCTCTCTCGAGCAATATTTAACCCAAAGACCTTGTTTGCTTTTAATTGATAGATATGTTTTTACTAAACAGTCAAATACTAGACGTGGTGTCATTATTTGCTTTTAATTGAATGGATATGATGATATCTCTTCCCTGTTCACGTAAACATTTAAATATATCTCCAGTGTGGTTGTCCAATTTCTAAATTTCCTTTTTAACCTAACGGACACAAAAATTAGACATGTGCTGAAATTGTAAAATTAGAATTGGTTCAATTACTGATTCAATTTTCTCTTAAATTCGTATTTGATTTACAGGTTGCGATCAGAGGTGTGGCCTGGCTTCTTCGACAGTTCCCTCAGCTGGCTGACCGGTTTTAAAGTTGTTTTTTTCCACTCACTTTTTCTTATCTTACAGAGATATAAACATAATCTACAGTGGTCTTGTATGAGAAAGCAAAAATGTATATACACAGTTGCACATATATATAGTATCCACATGTAAGTATGTTCACTTACTTTGTTGCCGATCCCATTTACATAACAATGGTCCAATTAAAGAAGGCATAATTATTTGAGGAAAAAGAAAGACAAAAATCCTCATCTTGGGAAATTTTTTGTTTCTTTTTGGGGTTTCTTTCTCCAAATATTTCTTCTTATTCGGTGCTTTTTTTTTTTGGTCGTTTCCTTCCTACTTATTTCCAATTCTATACTTGTGTGCTTTCTTGGTCAGATACTCTGTTTACATACAGGAGAGTCGCACCAAAGATCAAATTTTGCATTTTCTGTTTATCCCTGGAAATCTTGGTTGGTGTTGAATGTTCAAAGTGTATTTTGGTTAATTGTGATAAAATATGCTAACCAAAAAGAAAAAAATTGTGTGCACTTTCCTTATCATAAACTGTTGGCCGTTGTCTCTCGCACAAGAAACCGATTACAATTATGACATGTTTACTTATAAGTAAAAGAAACAAGATAAACAAAGAACGTCAATAAGATCAATTATTCATTCCTAGTTAATCTATTTCTTGGTTTTTGGGTATTTGACTAAGAATTTTAAGGTGGGACTTATGAATTAAATTATTCTTGATGTGTGAGTAAATGCATGCTAAATCAGGAATGGAAATTAATTCATCTCTTCTTATTAAGTAAACGTGGACCAAAGTTAATCAGGAATGGAAATTAATCATCTCTTCTTATTTCCATTACTTACGTAAACGTGGACCAAAGTTAGTATCGGTCAATGGCTGAAGTTGAGAGTGAGAGAGGTGATATACGTTTGGATAACGGAAAAAAAAAAGGTGAAACGTGATGTTTTGGAATTTGGATTAATTACAGCATACTTGAGTTTCAAGGTCTCTTAATTCAAATTCCAAGTTTTGAATTATGCAGTCCTCATACCTTGCTTCACTATTGTCTTTGCCATTAAATTCTGTCAACTAGTTCAGCAAGGATGGTGCTTGCGGGGGCTTCATACTAGTTCAGCAAAGAAGGTGCCGAACGACATGCTTGAAGATGCTGATCAAAAGGGTGTCGAATGGCACTAAGGATATGCTGATTGACGCAAGGAAATGGAGAACGACAAAAGCTTCTTTGTGCCGATTCATATAACGGCGCTAAACCCGAAATTGGACTAATATGTGAGATGTGCGTGTCATCGGCAGGCAAGTGCCCTCAACATGTTTGTACGTGCTTTTGGCAGGCAAGTGCATTCGGCAGATTAGTGTCTTCGGCAGGTGAATATGGATGACAGAAAGATAAATGAACAACCATGATGTACATTGTTCACCCGAATAATTATGACATGTGTGGGGTCTACTTCAATAATCCGCTCACAGACACATCTCCTTAACTAGGGTACCACAAGGCCCCACCCATAGGACTGAAGAATTTCTCCAAAGTCGACACACGTTTTCACCGACCACATCTCTTTCGTTATTTTGGCCTGCACTTGACTTTTTCTCAGACAATGACTTCGGTTGATGCAAGGACTCGTTTTCTGTATAGTTCAGTCAAAAAACTCAGAAAAAACACCAGTTTCCAATCCAAACCACTCCCTTTGAACCCATGACATTTTCTCTGACTTCCATTTATCTTGTGTTTCAAAGTAATTCTGTTGACACACCATGAGGATAATTTGCTCCCGCAGATAGTGCTTCAATAATCTGCAGCACTTCCATCGAACGTACTTTTGGGTTCTGGACTTGGCAGATTCTCCAAGGCCCTCGAGCTTGTAGCATCTAACTTGGCTTCAAGTTTTTAGAGGTAAATATATTTTGCAGAACTGGTATATATCATGCATGATATGGTTTTGATATTTATATTTATAATGCAACAATTAAAGTAGCATTATTTGTGGAGACAAAATTAAGAGTAATTTGTATGTACATAATTTTAAAATCTAATTCAGCAAAATCACACAGCTTGTTAAGCCATACATTTACATCCATCTATTCTATACACGTTTCTTGGTTCACAAATCTTTCTGGAGCTGAAAATTCTTCCTTGCAAAACTGTAAAACAAATTAACATAGAAAGGGCTTCTTGGAATTTAGGGGTCACTGTATAGTGTCATCTATGTAAGAATCTTTCGACCGTACGAAAGCTTAGCCAGATTTAGAGATCCTGCTATATGGGAGGTGTAAAATGAAAGGCACCAATTGTTGCTGCAATTTACTTTTAGCATTTTGTTCTTTTACAAAAGGTAGTGAAAGAAAATGATAGAAAAGTAAGAAATGAGATGATATATTTGAGAAAGAGAAAATGTTGGAGGAATGATCACAAAACTAAAGTATATGATGGAAATATAAAGTGAGGCAGAGAGTGTCTGTAAAACAGAGAATTATTCAAACTGATTTTTGTTAACTTCTTTGATACTACAGCAGCCTATAACATTGGCTATATATAATAACACTCAGACCTTTACATAAACAGACGTTACTCTTGGATTAGTTCCTAGAGTTGCAGACACAACTCTAGACTTCTAAAGAGATACAACTCTTCCTAAACATAGCTCTTCTCAAGAGACACAACTCTACTTATAGAATGAAAAATGAAAAATTGTTTTAAAGATATATTTTCTGGGAGCATTTTGTTCTTTCTCATATTCTTCTACTCTATTTCGATTTCTTTAACTAAAATTTGACCACCACATGTTTAAAGGTTACTAAGGGCATGTTTGGCAGTGATGTAAAAGATCTCAAAGTGCTTTAACAACGTTAAGTATTTTTCTGAGTTCATATGAAGTTTTGGGCTCTCTTTGGGAATACGGTCTTGCATTTTGTTTAATTATGTCAATAAGTTGATGATTGCCTGAAGTGATGAAGCAGATGAATTTTCTTCTCCTGTCAACACAAGGTAGGTATTATTAAGTTTCCTTGATCCTATTCTGTGAGCAGTTGCTGGTTAGTTCTTCTCTTTCTGAGCTCTATTGTATACTGTCCTTTTTCCAACTCTGATAATTAATGATTATTCCATTTTACTTGTTATATATAGTTCCCTATTTTTTTTTCTTTCCCATATTTAGGTTCTACATCTTTTGCTGTGACCAACAAGGAGGACCATGACAGAAGTGGAATCTGCACATGGGTCATTTGTGAGCAAGGCTACAGGTCATCCATTGCCACCACCAGACCACGGGAGTTATCGTCAACCTCAAAATTTACAACCCATACCGGCAATACCACCCAAACTTAGTAAATGGGATCAAAGTGCTCCAGCTCAAGTACATACAAATGTATTCACTGAAGTATTAAGAAAAGATCAACAGGATGCTACAAAGATACTAGGTAAGTGTGAGCCTAATAAAACCTCAATGTTTTGGGTCCATTTCAAGTACGTTAACGTTCTTGTAGTTTTGTTTTGTTTTGGATGTACGAATCTTATCAGTGGCTGTTTTGCTTTGCGCTTCGAAATTGTGCTACAGAAACACCAAGCAAGGATGTAGCCAATAATGTTCCAAATGTTAGAATTCAGACTATGATCTGAATTGTAACTTGCATGCTACAAAATGCTACTGAATGAGTAGAAGTTTCAGAAGGATTTTCAGAGTGAAAGAGAGCTTGAGGAAGGAGCAAAAGGAAGAATTCTGTTATTCTTCTCACGCACACACTGTGCACTGATAACAGCTGGAATAAGATATTCCAAATTACATCATCCAAATCTAGCCATCCATTCTTCTATTCTAAGATTCGATCTTAGCTGTCCACTTGGACTATAATCCAAGGGCTCACATTTAAATCTGTAAATTTAAACTAAACACAAAATCATATCAGCTAAAACACTTATATTTCAACACCAAATTCAGGTGATCCTCATTCAAACTTCATTTCATGCACATTAATTAATCTTCCAACTTTTATAAATGTCAAATGATTCTTATCAGGATTCTTATGTTGATTGATATTTATTGTCTTGATTATATTGGCAAGGTATATATAGAATCTTCATTCTAAAATATATAGTTGGGCTAGTTAAATTGCTAATAATATGTAGTTCTTTTGGGTGAATATTCACATGGCATGTTTAAAGCTTGTATGTCCTGATTGTTTGGGTCTTGGCAGCGTTGACAAACACCAACCTAGTTCCCTATGTCATCCTACATCTTGCTGCTCTCAGTGGTGACTGGGATATTGCTAGAAACTTCTTGCAATTAAAGCCACAAGCTGTAAGGGCTAAGATCACAAAGGGTTCAGAAACTGCTCTTCATATTGCAGCTGGGGCCAAACGTACAATATTTGTTGAAGAGCTAGTTAAATGGATGACATCAAATGACCTCGAATTGAAGAATGATGTGGGAAACACTGCTCTTCATTTTGCTGCTGTATCTGGTATCAAAAGAATCGCTGAGGTAATGGTGGACAAGAATCCAACACTACCTCAGATCCGAGGTATCAAAGATTTAACACCTCTCCATATGGCCACCTTGCTTGGGCACAGGGAGATTGTTTGGTATCTATACGATAAGACAATTTTGATGGACCGTGACCATATGAGGCTTCTTATTTCTGCCATAACAGCAGATCTTTATGGCAAGTGTAGTATATATATACACCTTTATCTTGTTTCGATAATCTCTTTCCTATGCGTACTGTTTTCTGTTGAAATGAATAGAAAAGGACTTAGTATTAGGGTGACCACTATTGTCATCTAGGATTTTATTTTGCGTTCGTGACAATTCTTTCATGGTAATAACAGATGTAGCACTGGATATAATTCAAAAGAACCCTCAGATTGCTTTTGCTCGAGATGAAAATGGAGAGACTCCACTTCATGTAATGGCTCGAAAGCCTTCAGCATGTTATAGTGGAAGTCAGCTGGGATTCTGGCAACGATGCAAAGGTTCATGTGAGTAAATGACATTTTTCTCTTGACATTCTATTCTGCTCTTTTACCATCTAAAATTTGTTGGATGTTTCTTAAAGTAGATCATATGTTTCTTATTGAGATATCAATAATTTATCGACTCATTATTGACATGTTATGGGTACGTTATTCATACGTCTGTCATACACAGAATCTCAACATGTATTGTAATCTGAAAATCTCCGCATCGCATAATCGTCCTTTGCTGATAAAAACATGGTTTGCTGTTTTATGCAGTACTCCCCCATACAAAGGCTCCTTACGGAAAAAAGTTAATGCATATGCAAGCCACTCAACTTGTGAAGCAGCTCTGGGAGAAAATTCTGACCTTAAACAGTGACTCTGCGATAAGTGATTTAATTAGAACGCCTTCCAGCTTATTGTTTACTGCTGCAGAGTTGGGCAATATTGACTTTCTGATCATACTTCTGAGGTCATACCCTGGTCTTATTTGGCATGTTGATGAACAGAATCGAAGCATATTCCACACTGCAGTGATTCACCGACAGGAGAAAGTTTTCAATCTCATTTATGAATTAGGTGGTCTAAAAGAATTAATAGCTTCTGATAAAGATAACGACAATAATAACATGCTTCATTTGGCCGCAAAACTTGCACCTGCAATTCGACTAAATGATGATACCGGGGCGGCTTTGAAGTTGAGAAGAGAGTTGCTTTGGTTTAAGGTGATATTTTTCCCCTCACTGATTGCTTTTTTAGTTAATTTTTCGTAATCTGTCATCTATGTTATTGGAATTTAGTTTGCTCATGCCATGCAGTTATCTAACTATAAGCTTTTTATTAGGGGAGTGATTGGCTGGTACTAGATACCAATGAACAATGCCTGGTACACTAAAGTTATTGATCATAAACCCACATAATATAAAATCAATCTTAAAGATCATCAAGTACCAAGTACTGTGTATTGGTAACTAGTTCCAAACAATCTTTATCTTCAAATTTCAAGTAAAAGATCGACTTTACTTTTTTTAATTAACGGGAAGAAAGGATGGTGTTAGTATTGATTTTGTGATTGGCATTTCCTAGAGACAAATTAGACTAAGTATAGATGGTAAATTAGTTGTGATGGAGGCTGTCAAAATTCCAAGATATGCTCTGAAGGCTCATATGTCAATCAACGATCACTAAGGTAAATTCTTCATTCAATCATGCATCTTGATTGTGGTATTTCAGGCATTATTTCAAAGTCACAATCTTTTTAACATTTTGATTAAGAAGACTTTTTATTTTAAGAAAGATTAAATTGCTTTCCTGTTCTGAACTTTAAAAAGTCTTCTTTGATTGGAAATCAATTAGTCTGATTCTGTCAAATCTGATATTCATGATTGAATACAATTTGGCGTCATCACTTAGAACCATATAGGAAGTTTGGGTCTGTGATTCACAAGGCATCTAAATCTTATATTCATAATAGGAAGTTTTGCATGGGCTGACGAATTGATGTAGGATTCTAAGTGAATCAAATATGATTAATGGCAAGTGATTGAGCACTTGACTTGGTGCTCTTCTCTTGCAAAAAGGAGAGTGTAGTTTGTATAAGAAGATGTTGTGCTTCTTTGTTTGGGACAGTTTTCATATAGTTGTTTGAGCATCTAAAATTCCTAAGAAAGCTGTTGTGCATATATTTGAGATAAATCATCAAATGTTACATGTTTACTTGGTGATTTATCAAACACTTTAATCATTCATATTGCATTCATTTGCATTGATCGATGACTCATACGATTGAAGGCACCAAGACCGTGGTGGTGGTTTTCCTTTGGCGAGCTTGAAGTAATCGTGGCCAGTATTGCGTTCAACATAAGGAGTGTCGAAGATCATCCCGTAACAGAAGTTGAGTTACGAAGAAGTCGGTAAACATTATCTAGAATGTGTCTAGGATAAGTGTGTGAGTACTTCTTGTAATCATCGTTCTATAGTGGATTTGCCTTGGACTGTCAAATCCTGTGGATTTTCCCCAGAGGTGGGGTTTTACCACGTAAAATAACTTCTGTATTTTTATCTGTTTTTACGTTCTGTACTGTAGAGGATTGATACATCGTATCAATCCCTTTGGCGTGTTTTTATATATTACTGTATTACTCTTCACTACTCAAAACGCAGACTTTACTCTTGCACTCTTTTAGTGTTTTAAGCCATCCTATAGGTATTTTCATATGGAACTTGGGACCTCTTCTAATATTGGGAAGAGAAGTCTCGCTAGACTAGCTAATAGCTAGTGGATAAGATGAACTTTATGAAAGAGCGTTGCTCGAATCGTAACTCGATTAGTTGTTGTGATGTGAAACAGAGTCCTTGGACTATACATCCATTTATCAATGTCATTAGTCCAATACTAGCATTGGCACATAATGATTTCTTATTCTTTAAAAAATTAAGATTTAAATTCAAATTTACCTGATAGCTTTTACAGAGTTAAGTTCGTATTATTATGTGTTGGATGCTAAATCCAATTTTTGGTATTTGTCATACTGATACTTCTCACACAAATTTAGGAAGTGGAGAAAATCGTCCAGCCATTGTATAAAGAAATGAGGAACTCCATTGGGAAAACACCTCAAATTCTATTCACTGAGGAGCACAAGGAATTATTACGAGAAGGAGAAGTGTGGATGAAGGGCACTGCATCGTCATGCATGGTTGTTGCAACGCTCATTGCAACTGTAATGTTTGCTGCTTTCTCCACTGTCCCAGGTGGCAACAACAATGACACTGGTATTCCCATATTCCTTCAATCAAGGGCCTTCATCGTTTTTGCCATATCCGATGCTGTTTCGCTCATCTCCTCTGCGGCTTCCATCTTGAGCTTTCTGTCCATTCTGACGTCACGCTATGCTGAAGGAGATTTCCTCCATTCGTTACCCAACAGATTGATCGTAGGGCTTGCAACTCTATTCATCTCCATAACTGCCATGATGATCACATTCGTTGCCACAGTATTTATTGTTCTTGGCTCCGAATTTCATGGCATAAAAGTCCCAATTGCTTTGGTTGCTGGCGTCCCAGTTGGTTTCTATGCCTTGCTACAATTTCCCCTTCTTGCAGATATGGTCAGTCATGCTTACATTTCAAGAGTATCTTTTCGTCCAAGCAACAATCTTTTGCACTAGTTTCCATGATTAAATTAGTGACAGCACTAATTTATTCATTGCATTTGTCTTAATTTGTGTTTTTATTTTTACAACTATGAACCGAAATTTATGTTTTGCATTGTAAAATTTTTAAGTTGTACAAGGACTGTATCAAAGAAAAGTAAATCGACGAATCACTTATTAGAAGAAGCATGGGAGGTGCTCATGCTTCTTCTAAGACTTATTTAGAATTACTCCCGAACAAGCTCATAATCACTTGAAGTGGTTTAAGTGATTTTATGATGCTTCTCCCCTAAGTAATTTGGGCATTCTCCGAATTACTACCATTTTTTTTATTTAAGAAGTTTGAGAATAGGTATGAAATTGCATTCCAAACCAACCGTACGCCAGTTGAGATTGGACCCCGCATCAGAGGCCCATCCATGTGGCACGATTACGACACTCGGTGTGAAGATCTCAGCTCAGCAGAGCCAAATAGGCAGTTAGGTCATTTCAAGTGCACTTGGCAAAAAAACGCAAAACCCAAACTTTTGACCCAAAAAAAACGAAACTTGTCCGCGGGACACCGACTTGCTTCCTTCGGTGTCTCCGCCACCATTTCACTCTCCTCTTCTTTTTTGGTCCATTTCGCTCCGCCCAAATTCCTAACATCTCCCATCGCAAAACGCCGTCGTTTCTACAATGGCGGCGATTTCGAATCTTGCCGGTTGTAGTCACGGCGGCAGCTCAGTCAATTTTGGAGAGAGGAGGTTAACGTTTCGACCAACTCCCGCATTGAAGACTCGGATTTCTTGGCCCTCCAAGGTACTTTCCACATTCATATGACTTGAGTTTCAGTACATTTATATGTATATATATTATGATTGTATATTTCATCTCAATTATGGAAATATATGTACAGAAGTATTATTAGACTGCCCACTTGAACAATGCTACTTTTCCAGACTGAATTTGAACAATTGATTGAGCGAATGGTTGTTTCCCAAGTTTCAAGTGTTGCAATTATTTTATTTAAATTGTTTGTGTTTTTTAAGCGGAAAAATTGGATCACATTAAAAACAATTTCAAGCAATGAAGGATTTTTTTTTACTTTGAGCTAGTTTTGGTCTGGACTTTCTAGTAATCTTAAGACTTATCTATGTATAAGATCGAAATATGGTTTAATGGTCGCTTTTTAAATTTTTTTTAAAAAAAAACTCCTTTACCCTCTTCTTGTTGTAGAATCCGTTAGCTGTTGGTCACTTGGGCAAGGGATATAAGAATTCTGGTGTTCGTATGGCATTAGTTGATGAGAAGCTGGCTAGAAGAGGAGATTTGCCCAAGCCTTCTGACATCCTGGTATCTAGAACTGCTTGTTTCACACAATGAATTCAAATAAGTTGTAAATCTTGATCCTTTTTCGAATGTAGGTTATATTAGTCTGAACTTTCAGATTACTTCAGAGAACTTTTACCTAATTAACAGTATATTTAATTTTTTGAGCAGGCATTTGATCTTGTTCAAGGAGCACTTGTAAGTCTTTGTATTCTGTAATCTCCTCATAATATGATATGTAGTGAGTTTTTGATTGAGAACTTGATGCCACTGTTGTTTGAGATTATAAAAATTGGAGTTCAACATTTTGAGGAATAGTTATCAGTGAAGAATTGCATTTTCAGAAAAGATTGGATGCTAATAAAAAAGGGAAGTTTTTTAAAATAAAAAAATAAAAAAATCAAACATGAGCCATGAAAGATTGGCCAGTAAGCACAGGAGTAATTGCTGGGGTCTGAGCCTCAGCTCCTTTGGAAAGTTTCTTATCCGATTAAATTTATCTTTCTGTTTCACAGCAATGCGCAATCTAGTTTGCAGAGGAAATGACATCCCCTCATTCTTCTTGGCAATTTAAATTTTAAAATTACACATCACAGTAATCTATTATATCATGCTGCACCCTTAAGTTTTCAAATTGATTTAAACTTACCTAGTAACCAATAAGAGTCTACCTATTTCAATTTTAAAAAACAACTAAAAGTTAAGGAGCAATCTCATATGCACTAGGGCTTGTCAGGGAATTTAAGAAGTCATGAGGAGGACATGGGAAGTAGCTTATGTTTCTCAGTATTACTTCAGTGGGCAATGGGCATAATCACATATCTGAATAGTTCCAGTGTGCAGGTAAATTGGAGTTCGGTTACGGACAGGTCATTACCTGAGCCTCCAACAGCTGTTTTTCTGCATGGTATTCTAGGGTGTAGGAAGAACTGGGGTACGTAGGTTCTTTTCACTTGCTAATATGTCATTTTACCTCCACACTTCTTCAAAATTAGAAGAGAATGATGGGAGGAACATTTTTGGATTCATCTTGGTTACTGGTCAATGCCTTGAAATTGTGAATCTTGTGCATTTTTCTACTCCTTGAAATTGTGTGTCTTGGATTCATTTTGGATTCATCTTTGCTTTCTTCTATTGTTCTCCAGTTAAAGCTCCCCTTTTTGTACCCTTCCATAGCCTGTTGGCATTTTCTCGTATGTTTCTTTTCCATGCCAGATCTCTATGTTATTAGCAACAAGGGGGTGATAGTGGGATTTTCTATTTGTTTCCTACACATAAATAGTTTGGGATTCATTACATAACTTCTGATATTGCAGGAACCTTTACGAGGAGATTGGCACAAGAATTTCCAACATGGCAGGTATCATCCTTTTGCGTTTGTACTTTCACTTAGATTGAATGGAACATGTTTTATTTGATAAAGGTCATAAAATTTAATTTTCTTACAAAAGTTCCATTCACAACATTCTGGGATGTTTCCTGTGCAGTATTTTGACCAATTGATTAACCTAAGTAATGTTAATGATTAAACCATTATGCATTTAATTTTACGGGTATTATTAGTGACCCCCTAAATCCATTGTGATTCTCTAACGACCCAAAAAAAAAAAAGCACCTGGCTTATTTTTCAAATATTCCAACCCTTGGCTTTTATTTAAATTGTTTTCTGGTCCCTGTGATAGTTACAGTCCACCTAAAATCTGAGAGCCAAACCCTTAATCAGAAGCTGTAAAATGGCAATTCTACAGCTCAAAGTATACAATCCTAATGCTAAGCCCTAAACCATTCTAAACCCTACACTATCAAGTCCCCATAACTCCTAATAATCGTTTAAAAAAAATTTATTTAAAAACAATATTGTAATTTCTCTTTTGTTAAAAAAACAAAACGAAAATCCTACTAGTTTTACCAGTGATTCTTTAAGCGTATTTGCTGTTTCATCTATTGTCATGTTCATTATTTCTGTTTGTAAAGCATGTTTTTAGCTATATTGCACATGACATTTTGTTATTTGGACATGGTGAGAATCTTACTTGTTCCCCTTTTTTTTGTTGGCAAAGTTTCTGTTAGTGGACCTGCGGTGTCATGGTGATTCAGCATCAATTAAGAAAAGGGGACCCCATACTGTTTCTTCCACTGCTCTTGATGTCTTAAAACTAGTACGTGTTTCCTGAGTACCTACATTATTTTTGAAGAACAAGTTTGTCCCAATGGTCAACATTAAATATATTATTCTATTTTGAAGTTTCATTTATAGTTGTGAATTAACTTGAACCAAAATTTCAAAGCCTTCATTTCTGATTTGTTATGCCTGTATTTCTGTATCATACATACTTGCACACAACTTTATAATTTTAACATGGCTTGCACGAATAGTGTTGTATACACAGCATTTGAACACCTCCAATGTATGTTTGTATATTCCTGTCTGGTACCTTCCCATGCTTGAGACACTATTTATGTCTTCCGTAATTTTGTTTCTTCTTCCTTTCTAGGTTCGACAGCTTAGATTAACACCTCGGGTTTTAGTTGGCCACAGTTTTGGAGGGAAAGGTAACTTTGGTTAATTTGGCAGGTTGCATACCTTTGCTGAGAGTGCTAGTACAACAGTAAATCTACACCTGCTTAAAATGGATCTGATTTGTAATATGCTTTCTAATTGTCATGCAGTTGCCTTGAGCATGGCAGAGCAAGCTGCAAAGCCTCTTGCACGACCAGTCAGGGTAAGTAATGGCAATATTGAATATATCGCGGAATGTGTGTGTGTGTCTCTGTCTGTGGACATTATCCTTCTTTTCCTCTTACCAGTTGATTTTTTTAGGTTTGGGTTCTAGATGCTACACCTGGAAAAGTTCGTCCTGGTGGGGATGGGGAAGACCATCCAGAAGAATTGATATCTGTCCTAAGCACACTGCCACAAGAGGTGAATCCATAATCAAACGTTGTTTCCTTCTTTCTTAATATTTTTGGTGCCTGTTAGAGTCAGTCCTTTTATTTTGTTTATTTTTGAGAGGATTCTTTTATGATTTATGATCTTTTGTATGCTTTCTCAGCCTTTTTTCTATTCTTTCCTCTCTCTCCATTTAGAACTCTAACTCTAATTTATATAAGTCAACTTGTTATCAGATCATTGTAAATCGATCTGTTGCTCTTTCTTTGGGTCCTATTGAACTAAAGCTACATATTTTGTTAACATTTTATTGTAGAGAGAGGGGAAGGGAAAGGTGGTGTGCACCTCCCCTAGTTTTCCAAAACCCAAATAGGGTTTCAATCTCACTGTATGTTGCAGAGACAATTGTTAATATGTATCATGCCAAACCTCATTTGTTGAAAAAAACACTTCTATCCTCATTTCTTTCTTTCTGTGTATGATTTTAATTCTACTAATTTTTCTTCAAAGCAGATTTCCTCAAAGCGGGATGTTGTGGATGTTCTAGTTCGAAAAGGGTTCTCCAAAGATGTGGCACAGGTATGTCGAACTGTGAGACATGCTTTGATGTACTAATTTGAAGTTTGGGCTCTGAAACTTGTATATATTGATCATTTTGTTTTTTCACCCACAGAGAATTATCGTAATGTGTTGGCTGTTTTGTCATTGCCTCATGTTTCTTTATTGATAGCGCCAATCTAATTTTCATGTTTAGTAGTTGCGCGTTTTTTAGTGTTCCGCTGTCTTTAGCTCATTATTTTTGCTGACTTCGGGGAAAAAGATGTTGCTGATCCCATTTAATTCCACTATTCTCTGTCTCTGCCTCCCAGTGTTTTAGCTCTATCATTTTTCATGTTTAATACAAGATTGTTCACTTGTGCCTTGCGGTACACTGGATTTACTTATTTTCTTTGTTTTTTCTTTCTTCTCTCATGCTTTTGCTGCCTTGAGGATTTTATACTATGTTCTTATATGTTGTTTCATGTGCAGTGGGTGGTTACTAATCTTCGACC